CCATTTGCAAGAAAATCGGAACATTTGACAAAAAAAAAGCAAAATTTGATTTTAATTGACAATGTTATAACAATTTTATTAAATGTTATTACATTTGAGGTAAAATGTGAAATTTTCATAAAAATGCACCATTTGCAAGAAAATTGGAACATTTAACAAAAAAAAAGCAAAATTTGATTTTAATGACAATGTTATAACAATGTTACGAAATGTTACAAAAATGTTACATTTGAGATATAATGTAGCATTTTCCCAAAATTTCATAAGATTTGCTAAATCGGACAATGTTGTAACAATGCTATTCCAAAAAATTGCTCAGCGTAATGCAGCATTTTCCACAATTTCCCACCATTTTCCAGGAAAATGGGGAATTTGCATTTTTTGAATTTTGGACAATGGCGCCCCTTCGACCTGTGATGGATATTGGAGGAGGCACAGAAGCCGGTGGAAGCTTCGCAAAGTGGTGTAAAAAGGGTAAAGTCATTGAGCAACATCGCAGGAAAATCGAATTAGAATTTAGGAACAGATAGGGCTTAGCATAGAAAAAAAATCGTCATGTATCACGGGCTACGTATTTATTTCAGCATGTATTAATAAAAAAATCTTGGCAAATTTCAGTCGCCCAAAACATATGATATATATATTTTTATTTTGAATGCTTATATACAGTGTATTAGTTTTATATAGATCATGTCGTCCGAGCTTGAAGTATTGAAACAGCGTATCATTGAACTTGAGGCTGAGAATGCCGAAATACCTGATCTTAGAAGAAAGATCTCAGAGTTCGATGCTGAGAGAGCTGAATTTAAACGCAGGATTGCCGAGGCTCTAAGAACGACTGAGGAAGAGAGAACGAGGCGTGTTGCTGAGAATGCCAAACTCAATGCTAGAATCGAAGAGTTGGAATCTGAGTTTAGAGATAGAATCACGAAAGTGGAACAGAAGCAGACTCAAAATGATAATTCTTCTAACAACAATTCATCTAACTTCAATTTGGTTGCAGTACCAGAGGCCATAACGGTACCTACCAACTCTGCGAATGGCAAATCGTTGGAAGAGAAAGATATGGATAGTTTCTTGCTTGAGGCTCATAAGAAAATCGTTAGTAGTGAAATAAAGCAACGCAATAAGGAAAAGAAACTTTGCTTTAGCGCCTCCGGTCAAGCTCAAGAGTCTCTTCCAATATCTCCTGAAGAAGAAAGGCCCCAAGTTCCCGACCCAGATATTCAGCCATGTAATAGTTCAACATCCGAAGTCAGTGAAAACGTCAACCTAGGTTGCCCTATCTCCGATCCAGTGATCCATAATCAAAAGAGAGTTTCCAGGGGTAGCAGGTCACATAAGAAAAAAGGAATGGATGAACTTAAACACGAATTATTTAACCCCTCTTTGGAATCAGAGATTTCATCATCAATAAATCATAATAATGTGACTGAAATTTCCGAGACGGCCCGTCCCGGAAAAGTTACCTATGACAACATTAATAAGCCTCACAACATCTAGCTCAGTTATGTGACAAAGCCATCGATGCCGAAGATAGGGCAAATCGAGCTAATCAGGAAGAAATTCTATGTTGGTGCCTTTACTGGAAAGATTTCAGAAATCAGCTTGATGAGATTATCAGAAGCGGTGATGGTAAATTTGGTGAAAAGAAGGCGAGAAGTATACTTTATGACACCATCACAGAACAGCTTTCTATCCTCCGCAAAAAAAGATCGCAAGAATTGGGGCTAAAACTTAAGGATATTTCACGGGATAACTTGCGTAAGAAAACTCAGAGCTGAGAAAAACTATAAATTATTCGAGAAAGTGGGTCTGGATAAGATCAAGTATATTAATTCATATAGCGCGAATTCCATTTCAGAGCTTACTGATGCGCAATTTCAAGAGATCATAGATTATGGTATATCTTTTGAAAAATTGTCTTCAGAAGCTGATCATGTGACCGAAATTTCCGAGACGGCCCGTCCCGAAAAAATCTTGCCTGATGTAAATGCACCATCTATACCTCAAATCACTCCAGCTAAAGCAGATGATAATGATCTCACGGATCTTAAGGAGGAAGATTTCTGTGGTGGTGAGGTAGTGATCGCAAGTGTATCATCTGCATCCCAATCTAAGCTCGATCATTCCTATTTTCGCAACAAGATATTGGATCAATATCCTAGTCTATATAGAGAAGGTAGTAGTGAAAATTTCGATTATTATGGGATTACTGATGAGACATCATGCCCTCCGGGACCGACCATCTGCCCATTATGCAAATTAGGTCATGATGATGAAGAAATAGAAGGTAGGTATAAAGCCGGATCTTACTTTATTAAATGTGAACAACGTGAAATTGAGATAACTGCATAATCTGGTTACTTTGGCCAGAGGCACTTCGCATAACCCTATATTTGCTCATGCTTTATTGTGGTATTTTTTTTGCTGGGCTAATTTATGTTGACTATACCTACTGTAATTTAAACTGATTTGCAATTATATGAAAAGGCAATATGAGCAAGTCCGATAAAGTATTAACTCCTGAGTATCTAGATTGGCATGCCAAATTAAATGGGTTACCAAGCGTTTTGACAGATAAGATTCGTACCAAATTTTACAAAAGATATAAGAAAGAAACGGGAAATGAGCCATGGCAATTATCAGAAGCCGTGATAAGTATATCAGAAAAACCTCAAGCCTCTGATTTCAAGCCTATCACTTACGAAGCCAAACCCGATCCAGAATTAATTATCAAGACCGTCTTAGAGCATTTCACATACCTGAAATTCCGAAATAGTTTCAGAGGGGATGATAATTATGATTTTAGATCACCTCAGCCGTGGAGCTCGCCATGCCCTATTTGCGATGGAAAACATGGGAATTATGGATTATATGGCTCATGGTACTGTGAAAATGGAAATCAGCTCCCTTATGAACCTGAATTAGCGAAATTGTATTCCCAAAATAAGTTGGAATATTGTCTTGCTTGCTTCACTTCAAGCAATAAATTCAGGTTCGCGATTGTGGCTTAGACCGGTCATGTGAAATCAATGTGCAGGCAGTTGCCACAAAAAATAAAGTCCGCAGTCATTGGTATAAAGCATACAGTGTATCACAAGTATTTATTTAAAAAATAGCTACGATCTAATGCTAACCGCAGTGCATCTATTTTTAATGTTCTATTAGTAAACCGTGCGTATAAGCACTTTCGTTATGCATTATTTCCCGAAAGTTCCAGTAAATAATTTATCTCATGAATTAATGATTTGCAAGGGTTGATCCAGTGACAAAGATCATGATGCTAGAATGGAATGAGAATGGAAATCGGGAGTAACAGATCAACTCAATTTCCACGGAAATTTTTTATGTAATCCCTAATTGATATTCCGTTGTTGGTGAGTTAATTGGATTTGTCATATTAATGAAAATTTTCCCAAAGATCTTAGACCTATTACATATATATATATAAAGGAGGCGAGACAGTTAGTGAACCCTTTTATCTGTCTTGTGCAAATATAAGCAAAAATCAAGTGAACTAAAAAATCTAATCAAACTTACCAATATTTCCGTCGTTAATATCCTTGATCAAGCGAACCTATATGTTCCGTGAAGTAATAATAAGGTAGGACAGTTTATAATTCGGCTAGCTTCTTGAAACATGTCATCACGATGTTAATTAATTTTCCCTCCTCTATAGATGTTCCAAAATAAAACGGACATATTACTTTTCTTATATATCGGCATTTTGATCTTCGCCGAGAAAATCTTTGACTATCATCACGCGTATAATAGGCACAGTATCATAAAAATAATTCCCCGTGATGGGATATTAATCTTATCTAATCGACACGATTTAAACTTTAATTTTTTATTGATTGAATAGAATCGAAAAAATTAGCCAATAAAGAAATTCATTATAAATCACGCGATGTGGTGTCGCTAGAAATATTTTTTATTTAATAATTATATAACTAAACATATCTAATAGGTAATAAAGGTTAATTCTGTCTTAGTTATTTACTTCGCTTGACTGAGTAAAACCATTTGCTGAATGGTGTACAAGTCGATTGTAAAATTAGCACCCATTAATGTTGCAGGAGGAGGGGGTAATGGTGTGTATCCAGTATCTCCAGGAACTGCTGGATCAGCGGGAATCGCAGGATCATAAAATACATCACTAACGGGGATCGTGATTATATAGTTGGGGATTCCTGGTGCATTACAGCCAGTGGCAGTTCCGTCTTTGTTTACGGTTCCGAAATGCCACTATCATATAAAAAATGGATTTTTGAGCATTACAATAAATAGAAAAATAGAGAACAGTCAACCTTACTTTTTGTTTTGGAGCTCCTTGTCTCCAAAGAATAGCCTAATATTAAAAATTAAAATTAATATAAATATGAAATTGTATAATAATTAAAAAAAAATGGGTATACCTTCATTGCACGATTTCGATCTCCTTGTGTATTGCGTGTAGCCAGCGGATCATATAGTTTGATGCCTAGGATAGATCGAACGTATGTTTGCCGTTTCCAAAGGCGACACTTAGTCTTTAAGTCGGAGGAATCTTGAGATACAGCAATCTCACAAATTATCCTTGCATAGGGGTTTCCCTACATCAACCATATTAAATATATATAAAAATTTTCTACACCATATGAATTATAACAAGTTAAAAATACCCTTATATCGCTGGGAGGTGGTCCGGGGTGAGGGTTTGGGGGAGGTGGAACGAAAGTTTTATGCGGAAAAACGGCGACATCTGGTGCATTGCGAACTCCATCTGGTGAGAGATGTACTTGGGAAGAACGTGAGAAATGTTAGAAAATAATAATAAATAAGGGATCAAGTAAGTAATTGTGAGGAAATTCTCTTACATGGCGTACCACGAACTTGTATTGGAGCATTATAATCAGCGTAAGTACCATCGTGGGCATGGAAGGATTTACTCAATGAATCAACAACAGCCTCATGTTCATTTGAGCACATATCGACTATACATACAGTTCCTTTTCGATATTCAAGTTTATATCCGCTTTTTGACTCGTGTTTTTCAATGAAAGAGTTATAATCTTGCACAGATATTTCTAAAGCAATTGGAAAAGGAAGACTGCAATTCATATGAGTCAACAAACAATGAATGAATTCCAATACAAACTAATACAATATACACCCACTTGTTATCTATCGGCTTGTCTGGTATATGAATCTTCCCTGAAGAAGACACCTTCTTAAGAAACTCAAATAGATTATATACCATTTTTTTATTATGGGTAAGATGGGTAAGTAGAGGTGTAATTTGATCTTAAATATTTAAATATTGCATATCGAATTAAGATAAAAATAAACTATCAGTTTAAGGGCATGATTATCAGAGTTACGCAAATTGGTAATCAATATAAGTAACTCCTGAATTAACGAATACTTATGCAGAAAATTTACTTTCCTATTAAGTTAATCAATTGTGACTAGTACGGAGAAGACTGGCCTTATATTTGCGAAGCTGAAAATGACTTTATCAATTGTATCTTATCATACCCGATATCACTAAATAGATCATAAACCTTTCTCGCCCTTAAGAGTTTTCCTGACATTGTACTGCGCATTTCAGGTGATCAGTCCACATGACTGGCCTATCCGACCGTCGATTGTTCTCTACAATACCTTAAATTGCAAGCATCAAATAAATGAAAAAAACTTCTGTAAATTTACTAGTGTAAAACCTCGAATTCATTAAAAATGTGAGAAGAATAATTAGACAAACTTTAAAACGTTTGCAATTTATGAGTAAAATGTTTTTTCCTAAATAAATAGTGAGTTGGAATGACAGATGCTATAGAAGCAGAATTTGAATAGTTACTGCGCCACAGTCACGTGACTTTACTGACCCACGGGTCAGAGAAATCAAAATGCGAAAAAATAAATAGTTCACTTTCATTTCGGCTATTTTTGTCTGCCTATGTATTAACCATAGTCGGTTTGTATGTGCTTATCAAATAAAGTTTTGCCTACATTGGGCCTTCTTCTTTTTTAACTATATATCCTTATAAATGCTATGCGACTGCTTATTGAATAAATTAGACTACCCCTTACTGATCATCTCGTGATTTATGGAAACTTGCCAGCTCCTGGAACTATCGAGGAACTGAGCCATAGGCGCTTCGCACAGGGAACTGGTGAAGATCTCATGTGATACGATAGATATACAGTACGTCATGCCACAAACTGATTTAGCTGAAAATGCTGTGCATATGCATGTAAATATAAAATTAGCTTAGCCGGCTATGTATGATCCTATATAAATCCCGATATGCTTGTAATAGAATAAAAATAAATTTGGGTTTAACAGTATGTAGTCTCACAAATCGGCTACAATCAATAAAGTCACTATATAGCATCGCAAAAACTGCTATAAGTCTCTTTAACCAGTAAATTCCTATAAAAATGAATTTGATATTTATTAGAGTATAATATTGCTAAATCAGCTAAGAATCGCTAAAAACACTATAAAACTCTGAAATTGCTATAATCTATCATAATCTACTAAAATGCTAATATGGATCTTGATAGTAGAGCCTTTTCTAAGCTAATTGATGCATGGAATACTCATGGAGGCTCTGAAGAATATAGAAGAATATTAGAAGCATTGTCTCCTTTAGGTCTCGTATCTGTGATCCATTTAGGAAAATACTAGAAGAGAACTATTCCAGGGGAATCCTTTCTAAGAATGGATATATTATAATGTATGGAAAGTTGTATGAAAATGATAAAGTTCACAGTTATCCAACCTATACTTTTCGTCAAAATGACAAAATACTAATTAAATTTATTTTGACAGACGTAATGTATTTTGACAGACGTAATTAATTTATAGTAATTTTATAATAAATAGTGAATTAGTCCGTTCGCCGAAATACGACGTAATTAATTAGCGGAGAAGTATAATCCAACCGATTATATATATTGTAGTGTATGTGACTCCTTAGTTTTCATACCTAGAGGGTATGTATTTAATCGTCGCAATCAAGATAACCACTTGAAGAGATGTATTTCTGGAAATACTATTTCGAATGAACATGCAAGAAGAAATGAAATTCTCAAATCTATTGATACAAGGGAATTTCAGATCTGGCAATATAAACAATATATATTACAAGAAGAAGCTAATATTATTCGTCTTCGCCTAGAGCTTTTCTCCCAATCTACTTCACACTCAGAAAAGAATAAATTGGCATCGGTATCATATGATCATGATGCGAATTTTACAGCTAGCTATGAAAATTATGCACAATCTAAAGCAAAAGATACTATGCCAAGTGCTCCAAGTTTTGATCCAACTTATATTCCACCTGCCAGGCAAGAAATGGTTTCGCCAATTTCACATCAATCATCAAATTCCAAAAGTAATACAAGCGAAATATTTATCTCATCTTGGTATGCTAAACAAAATAACTTATTACCATCTATAAATAATCATAATCAGCCCGCATTAAGATTGAGAGATGGTACAAAAATCACATTCGTTTAACTGGTTTAATTGACTGAGAAATATATTAATTATAGACTATTGAGAATTAATATCATTTAGCTAAAGGCGCAATGTATAACTTATACTTTATTTTTTTACGCTATATAATCTGCATACATGATCGCTTAGCATAATTGCGAAATGCTTTATATGTACAGTCGCCTCAGAAAGTATTGCCCGATTTAAAATTGATACCAAAAATAGCTAAATTTTATTGATTTTTATTAAACTTTACGTAAAAAAATAATTTCTAAAATAACTAATAATGTGTTGGCCCTCCTCTTGCTTTTAACACTGCATTGATTCTTTGTGGCATCGAAGCAACAACCTCTTCAAAAATGGAACAATCCAAATTTTCCCATTCTTCACTTAGTGCAACTTTAAGTTCACTCACAGTTCTTGGAAAGGTCTTACGGGCCTGGATATTGTCTTTTAATTGTTTCCAGATTTTCTCTATTGGTTTTAAATCAGGAGAATTTTCCGGCCAATCAATAATCGCAATTTTATTCTTCTTCAACCAATTTTTGGTTATTTTCGCGGTATGAATAGGTGCATTATCCTGTTGGAAAATTGCAGCTCTTCCTGCTAATTTGCAAACTGTGTATTGAAATGGATATAAATGTGAATTTAAGATTCTAATGTAAGTGTTTTAATTGATTTTTTCATCTCCTTCTTTATTTTCATCACAAAAAATTAATTGTCCTTTTATTCCTCCAGCGAAACATCCCCAAACCATAACTGATTTTTGACCACTTTTAAAAGTAGATGTCAAACATTCAATGTTAAACCTTTCCCCTGTATGTCTCCAAACTCTTATCTGTCTTGACTGCTTGCCAATCTCAACACTTGATTTATCAGAGAAAATAACTTGGTTTCAATCCTGGATTGTTTTTTCTTTATATTTCTCACACCAACTAACACGAGCTAATGCATGCTTTTTTGATACAAAAGGTTTTTTTGCTGCAACATGGGAATGGATTCCAGCATCATATAGTGTCTGTCTAGCAGTTGTTAGACTGCAACTTAAGCCCAATGTATTAATAATTTCATGTAAAGGTTCGCGTCTATTCTTCTTAACTTCATTTATAAGTGCATTTTTCTCATTATTATTGAGAGCAGGTGGCCATCCTGATCGTGGTAAATTTTCAGTCACCCCTGTCTTCTTGTATTTGTCAATAAATCTACGTATTGTGGTAGGGTCACGCCCCATTTTTCTTGCTATTTGTGCAGGGTTAAAATTTTCCATATATGCTAGTATTTTTCCTTTCTCCAGAGAAGATAATTCGGTATAATATGATATAATTTTTTTAACTGTGCAACGCGTTCATCAGGTCATAAAATTATGAGGAAAACATTTAAAATAATAAAAAATAGGGGTATAAATAATTTAAATTGGGTGTATCGTTATACAACAAAAAATCGGGCGATACTTTCCAAGGCGACTGTACTATGCATGATCCATCTATTCTGGGTTAGATCCTCTAATATATTATATAACCATTTTAGTGAAGTATTTCAGGAAGATCAATGAAGCGATCTTGGGGATTCTTGATTCCTAAATACTATAATTATAGCTTTGAAAATTTCTATGCAACAGTTATCCAGCGAGCTTATAGGAATTACAAGAAGAGACCTGAATCTTTGGCAAAACAGATTTGAGAGGCGGTGAGGAATGGTGCTACTCCTGATGATAAGAAGTATTTAGCTATAACTTCTTGCATTTCTTATGCTGACTGGAAATTTGAGAAGAAAAATCAATTACATGTGAGATTAGCTAATGTAACACATGATATTGTTTTTAAAATATTATACCAGCGAGGCTATATAATCATTAGAGGTTCAGATTGGACTAACCAGTTAAAGTGGCTACAGAATCCTGAATATTATCGTATTGATAAAGATAACATTGAATATCTCATTAGAGTTATAGAATGTGAGAAATATATGGCTAATTCATGGAGTATAAAATCAATCTGTGAGCATGTCGGATTATAATTCTTGCAATGAAATAAATTGTGTCGCCTGAATTTTTCAGATTGTCCAGCCACAATGCATGTAGCCATGTGTGACATAAATTAGCACGTTTTCGATCTTTGTTAAAGTATATATGATGTAATAGGTGATACTTCGCAAATCATCTGTAACTCTGTGTGATTGTTTGTGCGACAAATTAATTTTTACACATAAGAAATCTTTTTTTCCCTATCTATCTAAATAGCATTTATTTATGAGTTTATTTTCTCTGATGCTAGAGACTATTTCTACTAGATTTCGACAGCGACAAGTGCGAGTATATTTATATAATGTTACTAGACCTTTATTACTGAGCGTCAAGCAAGTGAAATAAAAAAAGTTCGTATATGCATATTCCCCAACGCCTTTGTAAATGTTGAGATCTACAATGCACATTCCTCATGCTCTTATCCTCGAACACAAACTTTTGGCGTAAAGTACCTCGCATATTTCTCCTATCTCTTTCCCCACCATGAATGTGAATGGAGAGATTTAAAACAGCTGAGTAGTATATTGGAGTTGAGTATTTTTACACCTTGTAAATTCTTTTTTACCATGCCTACCGACTTATATACTAAAATTTACAATTTCTTGTTAAACGCCGAGGAAGAGGACATTACCGCTGGGTCTGTTATCTATCAAGGGATTGAAGACAATCCATGGATATCTCAAAATGAGCTGAAAAGTATTATCGAGCGGGCTGTAGCATTTGTGAAGAATCAATATGAACGAGGCTCCTCATGTCATACTACTCTTCTCGAAGTTCTATTAGAGGTAAGATATTAAGCTTTGAGTTACTAGTGACTGGAATTTTTATTTGAGTGATGAATAACGCAGACAGTGATACCATTCTGAAGGAGAGAGCATAATAGACTAAATATCCTATTAGCCCACTCACAGGATTCTTTCCTCGGCAGTGTGGAGGGTAGTTAGGCTATAGGTGTATGCTTAATTCAATATGGTTATTTTAGTGTCACATAAAGTCTTTATTTGAGTATTGGAGTAGCTAACCATGCGAGAATAGGGCTTTATTTTAATCTGACAGCGCATGCGTTTTTGATAATTTTTTAATATATATGCCTGGGCTAATTAATTGTATGTCTGCGTTAGTTCGAAATTGGCTTTAAAACAGTCTGTAGTTACGTACATATGGGCTGATTCAACGCATAAAATGGATTTGGCCAACATTATCAGATATTTTAAGGGAAATTTGGCTAAAATTACGGTATTTTCGGCCAAAATTACAGCATGTCCAACAGGTGGACAACAGGTTTTTGAGGAGACGATAGATGATAGATGTGTATAAGAGACAGGTCCAACAGGTGGACAACAGGTTTTTGAGGAGACGATAGATAATTATTATTATAACTTTATACTATCTTGCCAAAAATAATAATTTTGTAACTAAAGTAAATTTGTTAAGCTTTACAATTATTGTTATATAGAAAAAAAATACTTCATTGAAATTTTTTAACAAAAATTTTAATAAATAACAAATTTACTACTTAATGCATCAAATCGGCCCATATGATATCGGCGCGGTGAAAACGAATGGGGAAAGGCCTCTTACTTCAAACAAAATCAAAAAAAATATTAAGGCACTGAAGGGTAAACTCAGAAAAGATACCTTACAGCTTTACCAGCATTTATTTTCGGGTGTAAATGCAGTGTTTATTTCCAAGTTGACTTGAAAAGATCCTCTGGCCAACCAAGTATTTAGCGATGATTCAGATCTGGTGTAAGCATTACCAGAACGGCTGAGAGAATCTTTTATGGTAAAATTCTTTTTTTCATATACAATCACATGCTTTTTGATCTAGCGCTAGACTTCATTTTAATTTATCATTATGCTATCTTTAGAAACCGGTAGAGGATATGGTTCCTTCATCACTTCCACAAATTATATGGGAAAAATGTGATGAATTCGTAGTTAACTTTGCTGAAAGTAATATAAGTGTTTTACCACAAAAACTTTCACATAATGGGGAATGGAAAGAATCAGATGAGGAGCTTGCAGACGTCACATCAAGAATTTTGGGTTCTTTAAACGATTCATAGAATAATCCTGCCTTTAGCTCTGAGTTTGCGAAATCACAAAATGAAGGTACTTATGTGACTAATGTAATAGTTCCTGCTATTCGGGCCACATTAAAAGGTCTTCCTTTAGGAAGGTCGTCTTATGTCAGCAGGTAAGTTATAATATAATTAGGAAAGTGGTATTTCAAAACCTCTAGACTAATATTAATATTCTTTTAGTGCTGAACGACAAAGTTCGGCTAGTGCGGATAGGAAAGGTGAAGGGCGGACAGGAAGACGGCCAGACATCATGTTTGTAATGAAGCATGATGGAAAAAAATACGAGCTCATATATGTTGAAAGTTCACGCTTATCTTGCATACCGCAGAAGGAAAAAGATGATGAAATAAAGTTATGGCGCGAAACCAATGATGGGATGTATTGGGTGCATAAATCGTCTGGACTGGATAAAGGTGAATTTAGAATTATTGGAATACAAGTTGCCGGATGAATAATGCGCTTAAATGTTCTTATCAGAGATGTGGGAAATGTGCATCGTTATTACCATCTTTATGAAGCAGAAATCCCCGTGCAACAATCAGATCCATCTACTGTAACAAATTTTGTAAAGACTCTGCTAATTCTGCGGAACATTTTGATAGTTAATATGTCTTTACTACTTAACGCGCCTTCAGTTAGATCTAAAAGAAATAAAGATAGTTCAAATGTAGATTCCGAATAGATAGAACTATATATGTAATATCATTTTTTTCCTATATTAATAAAGTGACCTCAGCGGTCGATTTCATATATATTCATGTTTTTCGTGTGGGTGGCATGTATCAGATAATAAAATTTTCTTGGCAAATTTCAGCCGGGCATCCCTGCCAAAATCATATGATTTTTTACTTTGAATATTAACATACTAATACTACATTATGCAAGCATGCAATCCAAAATAGATGAGACCGATTCATTGAAAATATGCATTGCCAGGCTTGAGGTCGAAAATGCTGAACTTAGAAAGAAGTTTGCTGAAATTAAAGCCAGGAATGCTGAGCTTAAGGCCAGAATTGCGAAATTGGAAGATAATCAAACACAGAATGAATTAATAAAAAATCAAATGTCTGTATCACATGATAAAACCGATAACTGATAGTCAAGTGATGGAGTTGCCGATCTGCTAGTCTGTCAGATGTGACGCAACTCACGATATAGGCGCGTAAAAATAGTACCACTATAGGTTAATTTTGCGTGCAAACTTTTTTTTTGCACAAAACTATATCTATTATAATGTTCCATTCCGATTATAAGCATATTATTGATAGACTACCCAAAAGTCTTGTCAAGAGAGCGTGTGAGAGACTCTTGCACCATTTTAAAGACTCTGTTCCATTAGAATCTATTTCCAGAAAGTCTGAACGAATTGAATCTTATTTGAGGCACACATTAGAGATTTATGAGAATTCGTTAAATAGGAGACGCAAGAATATGGTTCAGGAAAAAGTATTACGTCCTCGAAGCTGGCCAGAATGTAATGTATCTCCAGCATTACCGACTATACATGTTACAGATAATGGGACCCAAACTATTAATATCACTTGTGATCATGAAGAAGAGAATAATCGCTGGGTTATAAACGAACTTAAAGTGTTCTGCCAGCATTTCCTTGATTATAATAAAAGAACTTTCGAAAAATTCATGCAAGACATAGAAAGGGAATATAGAGAGCAGATTAGTACAAATAAGAAATTGCGATGTGAGAATGAGGATCTGAAGATGCAGTTGCAGGAGGCGGAAAAAAAGCTGGCATCTATGAAGTCAGATTCTTCTCATTAGTTGGGAATACTTTTTTCCTTGTACTTTTGCAAAGTAAGATCCTGGCCAAGATCATGCGCTTTTTGAGGATCTATATAAATAACCGGTTCTTCTATCTTTCTATATAACCATGAAAAAAGAATGGCATTTCAGAGGCCTCATTCAAGGCAGAGAAGAACGTGTGAAGAATATAAAGCTGAGCTGGAGGAGGAGAATTATTATCTTCATAGTGAATTGCAAACAGAAGTTGATACTAACCGTCAGAATGAAAGTCGAATTAACCAACTAGAGCAAGATTATTCCCGGTGTGAACAGGAAATCCAAGTTCTCAATAGGGAAATAGAACGTCTTAAGAATGCTTCAGAAGAGGAGATAGCAGAGCTAAAATCTGAAATTTCCAGTCTAAAAAATAAGCTATGTCAGGCCAAAAAGGATGTGCGTAATAAGGAAATATATATATCTACCTTAGAAAATCAGTTGGTAGAATCCGAAGAGCAGGTAGAAAAATTGCGATGCCAGATCAAGACTATCTCATCACGGAAAAATTTGCCAGAACGAGGGAATTCTCTGAACTTGTATAATTCAGATGATAATATGGCTACCATCACAGAACTAGCAAATGCTATAGACAGATTTCTAGATAATACGGCAGATAGGATAATCATGGCAGACTAAATAAAAAGAGCTACAAGACAGATTCGTCGAAAAGAGCAAAATTTACAACAGGATTTAATCTGGGAGCAACGGAGGCGATATGATGCAGAAGTTATACGTGATAATGAAATTATTCGAAGGCAAAATGCTGAGGGGGTGGAACAGATGGCTATTGCTGACCTTCATCAGTTGCGAACTAATGGCTGAAACCAGGTTAATAGAATATTAGATAGGATAGCAAGAAAGCGAACCCGTATAGGCAGTGTTGTACATTTTTGATGTCCGCAGCTTTTTATGGTTGTTCCGAACATGTTCGCGCTCTGTCCATACTCTTCTGTAACTTAAAATTCTTTACAAAAATTATATTTATTTATGCATAATTGGATGTTAAACATTTTTGCTAAGTATTGAACAAGGTTATCATAGAAAAATTTTGAGGGGTTATCATTTCTTTTTGTGTAACATGTCCTGGACATTGTTTCGTGACAACACTGCATATAGGCGTGCTGGTACAAGAAAGATTTGCCTTACAATTATTGTATCAGCGAAATGCTCACCACCTACAGAAAAGTAGAGGAGATATAGGTCTGTTAGAATATAATCGTGACAGGCTCTATGAGCGATATGAGAAATGGAAAAATAAGACTCAAGCAGAACGCCAAAATAATTTAAATTTGCAGGCACAAATTTTGGCGTTACAGAATAATCCACCAAATCAAATAAATATGGCTTTACCTGTGGGATTTGTAATGCCTGAATTAAGCAGTTTTGAACAGGATCATGAAAAGTTTAGAGATGATTTTATAGCATATATCCATTTAGCAGGTCTAAATGATGAAGCAAGAATTCGCAATATATTAGACCGATCAGTAAAGGGAGAAGTGCGAGAGTGGTACAGAAGAGAGTTTGAAAACAAAAACTGGGAGTTACAAAATGTACTTAATAACTCTGCTATAGGTGCCACTATAGCTCATATTTGCGGTGCTAATGCAGTGGCTATAACAGGGGCTGTCGCATCTTTTCCAAATGTTCTATTAGGTCTTACAGGTGCAGACATTATCCCAACTCGTGGACTTGATGAAAATTGGAAAATAGCTGGAGGACGACCAACCAATGCAGTACCAGTTACACCAAATGCTGGAGGAGGTGTTCCTATTATTCTTGCAGGAATCCGATCTGGACAAAGGTTGGATCATATTAAAAACCATTTTCCATCTACTGATAGATATTTGAGAATGTTTGAAATTGGGGCATTAAAACAAGAAGCGCATGAAAGTGTATCCTCTTATTGGGCAAAAATACTAAAGTATGGAAATCAGCTGGGCTATAGTAATGCACAAAAAAAGACAGCATTTATGTCCAGAGTAAGAAAGGATATAAAAGAGGAAATTTATAGGATTGGTCAACATTATACTTTTCGTCAAAATGACAAAATACTAATTAAATTTATTTTGACAGATGTAATGTATTCTGACAGACGTAATTAATTTATAGTAATTTTATAATAAATAGTGAATTGGTCCATTCACCGAAATACGACGTAATTAATTAGCGGAGAAGTATAGTCAACACAGAGCTATTAATGATATTCTTGACAGTTTAGCAGAACTTGAGTTACGTCGTGGAGTATTAGGTCTGCCACTATCGTATCTTAATTATACACCAGCCCCTCCTGCTATTTCCAATAACATACCTCAACAGCAAGGGATTTCCTTGGCAGATATACAAAAAATATTTCAAGATGCACAGATACAGCAAAAAACTGAAAACCAGGCATTAATAAAGAAAATTACAGAATTAGAATCACAAATGGCTCAGCAAGCACAAGTACCTGCTCCACAAACAGTTGAACCAGTTAGACAGCCAAAAGGTCCACCATCTTCATTGAAAACAGAAGAAGGTCTCAAAAATTATTATGTAGCTGAATACTTAAAAGAAGTAGGTCTACTTAATAAGGAAGATTTAGACTCTGATTATCCTGTAAAGCCTTTTTAAAGATCTCGTCCACAGTGAAACAATATCTCTGCTAGAATTGATAGAGTAGAAGAGGGATAAATGAAACTCGTGATGCTGTAAATCAACTAACAAATCAATTCCAGAAACTAAATATACGTAAATGCGATATTTGTGGAGAAACAGGTCATAGTAAAGGCAGTTGTTCCAAAAGAGAGACAGCACGTTCTAATTTTAATTGGGTTATTTTAAGCCTCTCACACCTATAAATTTCCAAAACACGCCTCCTAGTTCTGATAATGAGGGAGATTATACTTGTAGCTGAAACCTTTTCACGTGATTTTCGGCCACATCTTTAAATCAAAATTAAGTTAAAAAATGATAAAAATTAATCTCTACATCCAGCCGAAACTATAATATAAAGTCTTTGAAGTTTCAGATGGATTTCTGGATAGTTTTTAATAATTTATTATAATTAAATTACTGAAAGGCCGAAACCTTGTCCAGCTTCATGGAGGTTTCGGCTACATGTATAAGGGAGATGGTTATGATAATGAAGAACAAAATAGATGGTATGAACAAAATAGATGCTATGATCCACCGGTAAAAAAAAACAGGTACCAGTAAATGACAAGTTATCTCTAGAGTCCAGCCAGCCGAATACATATGATGAACTATTTCCAAAGCTTTCACCAGCAATGCGAAAAATGTGTCAGTCTCATACAGTTCGGGAGAAAGAATCAGATGAGTGGTTTTCATCATTACAATACCTGAATGCTAAAATAGATGATTTAATGATCTCTAATTCTTTTTTAGATGGAAGGAGTGAGTTCGGGGAAGTGAATGATGCAACAATTAATGCCCTTGGATGGAAAGCTGACAAGCCATCTGACTTCATTATAAAAGGTAACTCCAAACACACCACCGAATCATTGGGATGGTTTACGGATGTGCCAGTCAGTATAAAGGATAAGGACGGCAAGACGGTCACAACTACTGGAAATTTTACTCGTATCGATAATGGCGAACTTGAACCAATGCTATGTTTGGGTATGACATGGATTCGAAAGGTTCAAGGTATTTTTGATCCAAATAAAGATCAATTTTGAATGAAGTTACATGGGAAGACTTATACTATACCAACTTTTAGCAAGACTCCGGTAGTCAAGGATCTGCCAAAAGAAGATCAGGAATCATTATGCAAAGTGCCTCTCGACTCTCAGATTTCTGCTAATTCTTCTAGTCTGACTAGTGAGGAGGACTTAAAAAAAAGTGCGAAAAGCTTGAAAAGCGCCTCATAAAGACCGAAGAAATGCTCTATTTGGCCTTAAGTATTGGTAAATTTCTTACTGATACATGTGAATGTTTGCTTACGCAAACGGGATATTAGCTGTTAAACCCTTAAGCTTTTCACCACGATTAATTAGATTTTTAAGAAGAGATTCTGCCCTGTCTTCTCGGGGTGTATCAGACAAATTATCAGAGGAAGAGACCATGCCATTTTTGTTATTTTTTTCCATCATACTAGTTGCCTCAATAACCGGCTTCTCATCTATTTTAACCTTCTTTTTTCGACCATTCTTTTTTGGAATCTCTGTAGCCAGAAGAGATATAGATGATACTGCTTCAAGAGTCTATTCCGACTTATTAGATTGGGAATTTTTATCCAAAGCAGACTGATCGGAAGAAGATAAAATAAATCCTTGTTGGAGACGTTCACTATTGTTCCATATTTCATAAATACACTGAGCACCAACATGGAATTTTTCAGCCATTATTTTTGATGCATTAGGTATCCTGCCTCTGGATTCTCTAATTTCCTTGATGTCAGCTTCTGATAATGGGGTGGCATTGGATTGATAAAATTTTTCATGAAGATGGGTGACCATTTTTTAATTAGAATATATATGCAAAAAAAAACTACCAATAATTTTTTCAATACCTTTCAATATGTATCAATATTTCTGGTGATCAATACATATTAATACCTTTCAATATGAATCAATTCCTTTCAATACAAATCAATACATATCGGTATCCTTCAATGCATATCAGTATTCTCTTCAGTGTGCATCAATAAGTATGAATGTGTCTCAATGCCTTTCAGTACGCACCAGTAATCTTTTTTTCAATGAGTATCAATAGGCATTAGTTTTGCCAAGTTTAAGGCCCTAGCTGATTTTTTTTTGCCTAAAAAAAAAATAACCCAATAAAATGCCCAGATCCGTACCTTAAAAGATCTGGATAATGGTAATAAACTTGGGGATACTCCAGCTAATTATTATCCATCCAGTTGAACAGATCTTGAAAAGCAACTTTTTTGTGCAAAAAAAGATCGTGAAGTAGCTATTTATTGGGGAAGCCAGTTTGCGGATAACTATGATGTCTTAGATAGAGAATACAAGCGTATGCAGGATGACTTGGATAAATTCAAAAAAGAAAAGGAAAAACTTTCTGATCGGATGCATCAACTTGGAGAAGAGATAAGACAATTGCATTCAAAGAAAAATGAGCTTATACTTCAGATTACTCGTAAGGATATTTCTCTTGCAGATGCTGAAAACAAAATCTCTATAAAATCGGAAGAAATGCAAGCCCTCCAATCTAAGATGAAGGAAGAGATACAGGTTTACCAAATTAGGGCTGAGGAATTAGAGCAGGATATTTCTTTAGCACTTGAGGAGCTGTCAGAAATGGAATCTCTCCAATCTAGAGCTGAGAATTTAGAGCAGGATGTTTCTCTAGCACGGGAAGAGTTATCAGAAATGCAATCTCTTAGGCGTAAATTGGAACTGAAAAATGCAGAACTATTTACTAAAAATATTGACTTAGATTTGGAGAAAAGAGATTTAGAAGACACACTAATCAAAAAAAAAGATGAATTGGTACAGATGAGTGATAATTTAGCCACAGCGTAAAAGGCAATGATAGAGAAAAACACCCTCCTTCAAGAAGCGGTCCTAAATAATACTCGTTTAGCCAAGCAGATCCCAAAAACATCCAGCGAGTCTGAAGTGCTTGGAGGTGTTAGTGGACTGGAGAAAGGTATCGAAATCACTAGCCCTAAAATAACCTCAGATTCACCTTATTACTTATTTTTTCAGTATGCAGTCATCTTCGTAATAGTATTACTAATCATATGCATTTTATGGTGCGTATTCTCTCATAGAAATTCTTCTTACAATGAAGAAAAAAATATTTCGAACTATAAAATACCCTTAAATAGAAATCAGAGTTATGGATTCCCAATCTGATACACAAAAGAACTAAAAAACAGGACTACCACCTATGAAACTTCGTCTTTTGGATATGAATGAAGTCACAAAGCATAAATCATCCCGAAATATTGGCCATCCGGCGATGACATAGCCTTTCAGCATGTTGGTCACTGGGAGAAGTGGTTCAGGTAAGACTAATTTACTTGTGAATCTTGTTCTTGGTGATAAGGATAAATATGTGCAAAGAGGGAAGAAAGGTGGGTCTCACTACATTAAATGTGATGATCTAATTGTTTGTGGGTATCATCCTGATGAACCGAAGTGGGCATATGTGAGATACATATATAATATGATTTCGAAAGACCCAAGAGCACCTTACTATGAGAATATTAGTTTCAGTTATATTCCACCCGAAAGAATTCCTAGTACAAAAACATTCTCACCCGAAAGAAGTAAATTATTTATTTTTGAGGATCTGTGCCTCGCTCCAGATCATATACAAAATCGTATTGGTCAGTTTTTTGGGAATGGGCGTCACCGAAATATTTCATGTATATATATTANTCTCACCCGAAAGAAGTAAATTATTTATTTTTGAGGATCTGTGCCTCGCTCCAGATCATATACAAAATCGTATTGGTCAGTTTTTTGGGAATGGGCGTCACCGAAATATTTCATGTATATATATTATGCAAAAGTATCATAAAGTCGATACATTCAAACGTGAAAACTTGACTCATTTAGTATTATTTAACTCTGGTAGCAGTATTTAAGATGTGTCTAAAATTGTTGGATGATATACCGATGATGTAAAGGGTGCATCCATGGTTATTAATAGTTACCTTCGAAAAGGCGAGTTTGTCATATTTGATCTCACTAGGCCGGAAGATGATCCCTTTGCAATCCGCCTAAGGTTTGACACTCCACTGAACTTACAAAAGGAGATAGAGGCTAGGCAGAAGCGCAAGAAAAAGAGTGCCTCAGCTAATGAGTAGAATCTAACTTCATAGATACTAACTTTTTTTCGTAATTATAAAAGAGAATGGAAGAACCGGTTATTTATATCGATCCTCAGAAAGCGCAAGAGCTAGACCAAATCATAGCAAAATAAACACCTACAATTAATATTGATCCTCAAAAAGCTCATGATTTAGACCGGCATCTTGCTTTGCAAAAACTATATTATCGTTCTGAGAGTCTTTATCAAAATATTAAGGGATTATGGGATGCTTGTAAAAAAGTAGGCTACAGCCTTATTAATGTAAAAAAATGGTTTGATAGACAAGCATTGTACCAAATTTTTCGTTCTTCGCCAAAGCATATACCTTATGTCAGTTACTCTAAAATCACGAAGCCAAATACCATGCATCAGTGGGATTTAATTGAAATACCGTATGATGATGATGTGAATACTGACATTCGTCAGGACAATAGTCCAATATTTTACTATATATTATTAGTTATAGATTGTGCAACTAGATATAAAGATTTCGTTTTTTTAACATCAAAGAGTAGATCAGAAGTTGCAGAAGCCTTCAAGAGCATATACAATAATCCTAATAATCCACTTTCATGGCCTCGACTAGCACAATGTGATGAAGGTTAAGGTTAAGGTTAAGGTTAAGGTTAGGGTTAGGGTTAGGGTTAAGGTTAGGGTTAGGGTTAGGGTTAAGGTTAGGGTTAGGGTTAGGGTTAGGGTTAGGGTTAGGGTTAGGGTTAGGGTTAGGGTTA